GGATTGACCCCATGACCTTGGTACTATTATCACCATGCTCTTACCAGCTGAGCTAACCAACCACTACAGGACCAAACTGGAGAATGTGGGCATTGATCCCACTACCTCTCATATGTGAAGCAAACAGATTCTGCTGGACCTGCTGAGTTTTTCCAGTAATTTTTGTTTTTCTTTCTGATTTCCTGCTTCCTCAGTGCTTTGGTTTTGTTCATCCTTATCAATGACTTTTCTTCCTACCTCTCCACTACCACCTGCTGTCACCAAGGAACTATCCTCCTGCTTCCATTCAGTTACATCACATCATGCACCAATGTGGTGTCAGCTTCCACATATATACCAATGATATAAGGCTCTACGTTTCTCAATCCCTCCACTGTTTCTGTGTTGCAAGACCATGCGTTGACATCGTCTTTTCTGAGTCATAAATTCAGCTAACTAAATGCAAAATTCCTATTAAAACATATGATCGATTCCATCCACCTTCTCAGCTATGGTCTTGGACAAAGGACTCTTCAGTACCTTGTTGGCCTTTTTGACTTTAAGCCAATTCCTTACACTCTTCATCACAAAAACAAACTACCCACCTCTTCTCTGCAACATCACCAGCCTTCTTTCAAAGTAGAAATGTTATATAAGATAATGGTTTTGTGAGGATTAGTGTTGCAGACTGCATTAAGTTCCATCCAATCTGATCATGTCATACAATCTTGGGCAGAGAAACAGGGAAAAGAGTTCTGAATCTTAAAGGGAATAGATGTGTTATCTATGTCTCCCCATAGTCTTAGTAAGAATGTGTATCTAGTTAATGTAACTTGTACCTAATCAGTATCGTGCAAAAAACTACATTTTGCTGAGATGGGCATCTTCTTGTTAAATCCAGCACAGTAAGCCACATAGTCAGGGAAAGGAGAATGGTAGCAGTATCGTTCTAGCCACAAATACCACAAGAACCAGTCTACAACTACAACGTTCAATCATGTATTCTATCATCTCCAGAAATAGCTGTTCAACGCATTCCTCATTGGCTTCCATCTTCTTCTCTCCATGATTTCATTCAAATGTATATGGCTTACATCTTACATAGCACAAAGATCCATTTGGGAGTACACCGGGTTTCACTTATCTGCATTGGTTAAAGGACCCCAGTGCTCACAGTTAAAGTTCTGTCTTTGTTGAAAAGTCTGAATTTGGTTTTTCCATCTCTAACTGGATAAAACAAAAGCTATGGACCTGATAGTACATCTACTAAAATACTCAAGCAACCACTTGCTAGCCAAGCTGTCTCAGTGCATCTACCACACTACACTAAGCTGACAATGTGGAAAATTGCGCAGGTATATCCTGTCTCCTTAAAAATATACAGGACAAATTCAACCCAGCATTTACAAACTCATCAGTCTATTCATCAGCAAAGTGACAGTGCTATTATGATGCACAGCAATAACCTGCTCATTATGATTAGTTTGGCTGTATTTTGAATACATGGGTCCAGACTTCATTACAGCCATGGACAAACTCAAAAGGGGATATGATAGTGACTGCCTTTGATATCAAGGCATCATTTCAGTGAAAGTGGCATCAAGAAACCCTAGGAAAATTGAAGTCAATGGGAATCAGGAGGAAAATGCTCTATGTTTGGAATCAAACTTGGCACAAAGGAAGATGATTGTGGTTGTTGGATCCAGTCATCTCAGTCCCAAGATCTTGCTGTTCTGCAATGTTAGAATACCTGAGGATAATACTTTGTATCCAACCATCTACAAAGTTTCATTAATTACCTTTCCTCCAGTACAAAGCCAGAAGTGGTTTGCTGATGGTTCAGCATGTTTCTTAGACTCCACTGAAGCAGTCTGTGCCCAAGTTCAGCAAGATCTGGGCAGCATTTATGATTGGGCTGATAAAATGGTGTGTAAGTTTATGACACAAGTAACAGGCAATAACCTTATTCAACAGAGAGAATTAACTTCTCTCCTTAATATTCAACAGATTTGTCATTGGTGAATTTTCCATTACCAACATTCTGGGACTACCATTGACCAGAAACTTGATTAGACCCATCATATAAATATTATGGCTACAAGACCAGATCAGAAACTAGGAATTCTGCAGCAGATCACTCATTTCTTGACCGCCCATAGCGTGTCAACAATTACAAGGAACAAGGCAGGATTATGATGAATACTCTACACATGCCTGTGTGAGTATATCTTCAACAATTTTCAAGAAACTTGAAGCTATCTGAGGCAAAGCAATCTGCTTCACTGGCACCTCATCCAATATCTTCAACATTTTTTTCTTCCACTACTGGATTAGAGAAGGAGCAGTGTGTACCATTAACAAAAAAGCACGCTGCAACCCACCAAACCTTTTTGACTGCGCCTTCTAATCCAGTAACAATGGCATCTCCAATCTAAACTGATAAGGACAACATGAGAGCACCACCACCTACAATTGCCCTCTGAGATACACACCATCCTGACTTGGAACAGTATCACTCTTCCTTCACTGATGCTGGATCAAAGTCCAGTTATTTTTTCTCTGACTGCAATATGGGTCATCAACACCACATGGGTGGCAGTATTCTAAGAAAGCAGTTCACCCCTTTCCAAATGGCAATTACAGATGAAGCATAAATGCTGACCCACTTAGCAATTTTCACATCTCAATGAATGAATGAAAAACACTGTTCAAATTCTGTAATCCACACACTCTGTTCATCTGATTCTAACATCCTGTTCATTATTCACTCCACTGCTGGGAGTAGTGCCTTAGTTTTCTACATTAAAAATAGTGTCTGAATGGAAATTGCAGTTTTAGGGTGAATGAAACCAAGAATTCAGATCGGCTGAGAAGGAGAACTGAACCTATCATTAGTTTCACATGAATATGCAATGAAATAATATTATTCTCTGGCACACTCCCCAAATATTTACATTATGTAAGTGAAAATAGTGGTTTTTTTTTCTACAAAGGGACATCACAATGGAGTTTCTGTATTGGAAACAAGAGTAGGATCTCTGACTCAGTTCCTGACCTCCCTAGTGAAGTAATATCCAATCCAATTGCAGTCCCTCACCACCATACCAGTTAAGATCAGTTTACTCAGCACAGAGTAGAGATCAAAGCTGAAATCTTCAAAATATATTGTTCAATGCCACACTAGATAATGGATCCAGACACTGAGCTGACATTGAAACTTTTTTTAAAGTTTTACCTACTTTGATCACACATTGGAAAATGTACGGTGACACCACCATAATGGTGAGTACCTAATGGAACTGACTGATTGTCAGAGGGTTGGATAATACTACCTTATGCAGTATTATATGGTGCAAGATGCTGCTGATCATCAAAATAACATAGATGTAAAAATTAAATGATGGAATATTGACATTCCTTTAAGAGTGTAAATGTTTAAAGATATGTTATTTTCTCCATATATTTTCACCATCCTAGGTTGGTTTTATTTCATGCTTAAAAACGCAGATTTACTCATTTGTTTAAAAATAGCATTCAAAATTTTTATTAGATTTGAGGGAAAGTAGTAAATCAGGCAGGAATTGAGAATGTAAAATACTTTTGCTTTGAACCAGTACAGTTTGTTATTTCTAGTACTGATTTTGCTCTATCGAAATTATTTTACAATACATGAGATAATGGACAAAGTACAATTCTGACAGCTTTTAACAGTAATAATACGAGTGGAATATAACTTGCTTAGAGATATAATTAATGAGGTTTAATTTTTGTACCAACTATGCTTTCAGTAAAATAAGCACATTTCTTATGGTGGTAACCGGTGAATTATGAAGAGTGCAATATAGTCAATCAGAAATAGAACTTCGCAACGTTATATGGCAATGCCGAGAATTAATTTTAGAAACAGCTGCTACAATGTGTTTAACATTAAACAGTTGTGACATTTCTAACAATCTTTTTGATTGTTAACATTTTAATACTTTTGAGTAAGTTACTAAATCAACAAAGTTGACATATAATCCTGGGCTGATGGGTTTATAACAAATGACAGATTTAATAATGACTTTATGGTCTTAAACTACATTCAACGTTTTTCTTTTACCGGCAGCGTATATATGTGGAAGAATGTAACCATTTGTGGTTCATCAAATTCAGAGTGACTACAAAAATATTTACGATATAACGATTCAATTCAAAAAACAATTCTTCTTTCCAATAGAGTGATACACTAGCAACCCTATATTTTAAAATTTAAAGCTTATAATTATGAATATGATCAGACTGGTTTGAAAGTTTAGTTCATTTGTCAACTAAGTTCAGAATTACAAAATTCAGGTTTGTATAAACACGAAGAATGCAGTAGTATTTACAATGAAAAGTAACTTTTCAGTTTGGTCAATTATTTTAAAGTGCAGTGATAAGCCTACAAATATTATAACTCTACCTTCTTCCAGAGTGATGAGTTTTGCTTGGGTCTTTTTGGTAGGGGCGTGGCGTTGCCCTTCGTCTAGTGACAAGAGAGCTGCAGCCATGCGTTCTCACATAACGTGACAGCGGCGATGGCTAGGGGAGAGCAGGAACTTCGCGCGGTCCTATCTGTAGGTTTTATAGAACTTTGAATCATTTTTCTCCTCCACGCAAGACTGACTTGGAAATCGATGTGTGAAGAAAGTGATTGTGCTTGAATAGGCTGGCTGACAGCGGTCAGAAGTGTTGGGTAAGCTGGCAGCAGTGCTGGGGAGGGGGAGGGTTACATAGACAAGTCTGTTTCGTGTCCCCAGCGCATTCAAAATATGGCATCTATGACAGCCGGATGTGTTACTAGCTAGCTGGTTTTGTCATCTCTTGTTTGAGGTATGATACAATTTGCTATCATGAAACATTTTGATGAGGTGGGAGTCTTCACACACGGCCGCTTTTTGTGTGTGGTTTGTGGTTGGGCGGATGTGGTAAAGATCTTTTTGGAGTTTCTTACATAAAAGGATTTTCGGTATCTATTTTCATACGAATTAAACTGAAAGTTACATTTGAGCAGTTGATATGTGTTTGGATGTAAAACAGTAGTAAAGAAGTTTATTAGTGAATGAAAAGAACGGCTTCGCTGACTGTACAGATTCGGCATTTTCCCGATGATCTCACACGGTGTGTTTATTCTGAAACTCAAAGCCGGTGGTTCAGATTAAGGTTGGTACAACTGAAATGAGCTGCAACATTTTAAGGTTAAATTCGGTTCTGCGCAAACTTTTATGGTATTTTTATTCCATTAATGTCCAATCAACTTCAAATATACGTTCGGAAAACAATAGCAGCTATAAAACGGCGCATCTGAGAGCAGAGCCAGCATCCTCATAAAGCAATACAAGGTTTGTTTTAAAATTAACTCTGATTTCACCCTTAAAACATCAGACGTAGTTTTCCTGCAAAACTTAGAGAGAAAGACACTGTCATTAACAACAAAGAATCAAAATACACTATAACTCCATCCACACCGTCACTGACCGGATAAGTTTTCATCTTCCTTGCATTTGATTACCTTTTCTAGAAGCACTGTTCTACAATCCTCGACGACTGAAATGGGTTTGGAAACGGAGACAATTTACAGCAAACTACAGTGTTACAAGTCTGATAATTTATTTTCGCAGCGGTTTCTTGAATTTTCTTTTTTATTTAACAGGCATCAGATTTTTCTATATAAGTAAAATGTCATTGATGATGATACGTTTAGGTAATAGTGCCATGGCTAATGGTAAAGTATTTGCTTTTATTTTTCATACCAAAATTGACACTCTCCACGAAATGACAGTAATGACACTAAAGCAAAAACATAATATAAGAAATATTAAATGAGTAAAATCGATACTATTTTGTACTGGTCACCTGTTGATGCCACGTGAAGCTGAATAAGCTATTTTTTCCTTATTCAGCAATTTGTATTCTGTTGACGCAAGCATCTGTGGAAGGCTGCGTCTCAGTCCGCTGAATTGCCAGGATTTCAAATGCATAACTTTATGGTTATGAGGTACATGCAACACAAAAATTTAAACTTCTTGACTATCTAAAATGAACAATTTAAATGGTTTTTATTTTAATTACTGCAGTGAAACTTGATTACCGATACTTTAATTAATCGTAATGGTATTGAAATGAAGAACGAATTAAATTTAGTGGTTAGGACTCTTGCGGTGCAGCGGTAGTGTCCCTATCCCTAGACCGAGAGACAAAAAGTTGCTGGAAAAGCAGAGCAGGTCTGGCAGCATCTGTGAAGGAAAAAACAAAGTCAACGCTTCGGGTCCGGTGATCCCTCCTCAGATCTGCCTGACCTGCTGAGATTTTCCAGCAACTTTGTTTTTGTTCCCGATTTACAGCATCCGCAGTTCTTTCGGTTTTTACCTAGACCGAGAGTCCCAACTTCAAGTTCCACATGTTTCAGAGGTGTGTAATGACATCTCTGAACAGCTTGATCGGAGAAATAGGTTAAATTAAAAATAAGTTAGTGGTTGCCAATGATATTCTGATAAGCCCAGCATTAAAACTAAACAGAATTAATTTTCCACATGAACTTGATACCAAAGCCTGGCTGGCGGCCTATTTCGAAGAAATTTTAAAATGTTGAATGTGCAATGTAAATTCCAAGGTCGATCTAAATTATGTTTATGAATTCAAAAGCTCTAAAAATATCAAAGACCCAGCTAAGATGATTAGTTTCTAAAAGTTTAGGATGACACTGATCAATTTTAGACGATTTGAAAGACAACCCGCGTACAACCAAACGATGACACTTCTGCATTTCGATGGTTAGCAATGTATGTTTATCCAGTGTAGTCAATATTACGTTCTTATCTAACACATGCTTGCATTTCTGCGCGATATGCTTCATAAAATTCTGTTAGATTGAATCACTAATACAGAATTTGCCCTTTTAACTTTAATTTGCGGTGCAAGCCAAATTCAGTGTGGTAAGTGAGCATACGTAACACCAATGTTTTCGCTTTAATGACTACTTGGCTCGTCATTTATACTCACGAACCATTTTACATGCATGCTTTTGACAAATAAACAAGTCTGAAATTATGTTCTTTTGGTGTTATTAATAACATCGATATAATTAACTGTTATCTGTTGCACTTTTCGACAATTATTTTCTCTGTGACTCAAACCAGCAACTCACATCTAGGATACACAACTGTCTGGGGCACTGCTGAAGTGAAAATATGTAGAACTAACACATTAAAACGAAATAAAGTGCAAAACAATGAATTCAAATGATAACATTACGAGTGAAAGGTAAAGGGCAAAGGATTGCAGAAATCGCGTTTTGTGGTATAAAACCGATAAATAATTAAGGCTACGAATATGTCAATGATTTCAAATAGCCAGCTACATCAACTGGCTGTGATTAGCCGAGGCATATTCAACCTGGAAATAATAGGAAATGTTTCAGTGTTTGAATATGTAAATTTATTGATAACTAAATGGCGTTGAAATGAATAAATGAAGGAAATTGGGCATGTTCGTTACTTAGCGATACAGCTATGCGATGAAGTAAAATTAAATCTAATGGGTATTGATGTAAACTCGGGTCAATAATTTATCCGTTAGTATACAGAAACAATAAGTTAATATTTCTGAAATTAGCTATTATAGTTCAAAACTGGAAACTGATAGTATTACCGTCATGATCAAAATCAACAACTGGTATATCTCTTAATTTTTCACAGAAGTGCCTTAACTTGTTTCTTTAGTTGTCTTATGCGGTAATTTCTAGGGTAGTTGCATCAAACTAAAATACACATATTAATTACTTTCCACATTGCTAAATATAAAGTAAAAGATCGAAGAAATGAAAGCACCGAAATCAAATGTACTGATCAATTTATGGGAGCCCAAACCTATCATTCAAGTTATTGAACTTATCATGCATTCATAACACAAATAAGATTTAAACTGAGGTACGTTTATTCTGTTTGCTATTGGAAATACTATTGAGGTATTTATCGAAGGCTTATAGATATTTTAATCAACCTATTCAGACATTTAACGAGATATCTCTGGAACAGGATGGGACTTGAACCCAGGCCTTCTGGCCCAGAGGAAGGGACACTACCACTGCACCACATGACACAACCCACCCCGCACCCCATGTGTGTCTGTGGTTTATTGTCCCACCTTTTAATAAGGACAAACTGTATCACCGATAGAATCATGACGATTAAGACAAGATTTTTGGACCAGTGTAATTCATCTCCCCATCTTCCACATCATTCAGATATCATTAAAAGCAGCGTCCTCTGTACTTGAGCAGGCAATTTGACTTGATTTAGGCAATTTCACTGGTTCAGGGTTTCTTTTCGGTACTCTGTGTTTCCAGTGATAGGATTTCTTAAGATTTCCATATCATACAATTATTACTCTTTTTCTCAAATACATATTTCCAAACACTTATTTCAAAGGCTTAGCGCATAAATGACTTAACATCATTGTTTCGTATTCAAATTCTAAATTTTCTGTTTATTAATATAGTATTTGAACTGCCACCAAATTACGGTATTCTTTTCAGAACTCAAACAACTTTGCAAATCTGTAAATAGATGTAAAAATTTAGTTTCAGATTTTAAGGCAATCGATCGGTTTCTGATTTTATTGGCAAAATACGAGATTAGCCATCCTTAATTATTTGATATTGACCACAGCAATTTGTACTTTTAAAGTGGAAAAACGAAGTGCCAAAAATAACCATTTTGTAAGAATATGCGGAGTCCAATAATGTAATTGGCACGATTTAAATTGGTAAAAAAAGTCAAAAGATTATTTTCAAAATGAACGATCTTGTGCAGTTGCAATTATAATACAATCCTTGGTCAATTCAAAAGTATGTCAACATTTGCTTTTGAATAACCACAAGGACACTGAATAACCCGCACTGCTGTATTTTCAAAACCGTCACTCCAAATATCCACGGAGGTTTTGGTCTTCCCATTCTCCAGTATCTAATGGCTCTTTGTTATATGGATTGCTTTTGCAGGAATAGAGACTTGAAACAATGGGTGACTGGAGTTTTCTGGGAAGGCTTTTGGAGAATGCGCAGGAACACTCGACAGTGGTAGGCAAGGTTTGGTTGACTGTGCTCTTCATCTTCCGAATCCTAGTGCTGGGGGCTGCGGCTGAGGAGGTCTGGGGAGATGAGCAATCTGATTTCACCTGCAATACCCAGCAGCCCGGTTGCGAGAACGTCTGCTATGACATGGCATTCCCCATCTCTCACATCCGATTCTGGGTGCTCCAGATTATTTTCGTGTCAACGCCCACCTTGATATACCTGGGCCATGTACTGCACATTGTGCGGATGGAAGATAAAAGGAAGGAGAGGGAAGAAGAGATTAGAAAAGCCCAGAATGAAGCAGACAAAGAAGTGCTGCTTAAAAATAGTAAAAAGAAGCTCCCTTTTAGAGATGACCATGGCAAAATCCGAATTCAAGGGGCTTTACTACGCACCTACGTTTTCAATATCATTTTCAAAGCGATGTTTGAAATTGGATTTATTGTAGGTCAGTATATCTTGTATGGCTTTAAGCTTAGACCTCTGTACAGGTGCAATAGATGGCCATGCCCCAACACCGTGGACTGCTTCATATCACGGCCAACAGAGAAGACTATCTTCATCCTATTTATGCTTGTAGTGGCTTGCGTGTCCCTTTTCTTGAACCTAATGGAAATCTATCACCTCGGCTGGAAGAAGCTGCGACAAGGAGTGACCAATCGACAGCCCCCGGAACTCGAGCAGAAGCCGGAGCCCCTGACGCCAGTCACAAAAACTGCCCCGAGCACCTTCAGTTACCCGTACTTCCCGGACACAGCCGAGGGACCCCATCCCTACCCCGGAGCCCCGCCGAACGAGTTCAAAATGGCAGCGTTGCCCGAGGACAGATCGCCGTACGTAATGTACAACAACAATTTGGCCGCCGAGCAGAACTGGGCCAACATGGCCGCCGAGCAAACCCGCCAGCTCAGCGCCAACAACGGCAATGGGAACGGCAGTCAGGAGCGCGCGCTCCTCGCGCCGGCCAATCAGGAGAGCGCGTCTGCGGGCGGGGAACCGCGCGGCAATGGTCACGTGACCACAATGGCAGAGATGCACGATGCTCCTGTTACTGACACACGACCCATGAGCCGGGCCAGCAGAGCGAGCAGGGCAAGGTCGGACGATCTGGCGGTTTAGCGCCTGCTTCATACACCACTCTTCCTCCTTCATCCACTCTTAAATCGCTACAAAGTTTTAATAACAAGTCGGGTAGGTGGAGAACAATGCATGCTGAGAAGCATGCATTTGCAATGCGCTCTCGGAGTTGTATTGTTAGTGGCTTTCACAGAGTCGATTTTGTTAAAAGTTACACATCCGTTAGCTTTAACATTTACACATGTTCCGATTTTATGTTTTTTCATAAAAGAAAAACTACTGATAACTTAATTAGATAGCCAAAAGTGGCGAAATGGTTATGCCCTTGATTTCGCATCATGTTAAAGCCAAACCGGATTCAAGAAAGTATACTTTCAATTGATTCATGATCATTAATTTCACCTCTAAGAGCTCATTTTGCCGAACCCACTACTACAGGTTGACTTAAGAACTGTACTTTTTAATACGTTAATCACTTTTATGGCAAGGTAAGATGTCTACAGTAAACGCGACAAACAACTCCTTAAATGTCTTATTCAAGTTAAAAATATGCACTCTGATTGTAATCTGTTCCCTTCAAATGAATACAGTACGTAAAGCATTAAAACTGAACACCAAATTGCAGAATGCTTCATTACTCATGAGAGATACTCAACTTAGATCTACTGAAGAGTTGCAGTATTTTAACTTCTTGGTTTTCATCCATCTCCATTGTTCCACGAGGCCCAACAATGTAAAACATTAAATTGTTCTGCTTATAGACAAAAGACAGAAGGAATGAATGCATTTTTATAGCATATGGTACATGGAAATAACATGAATTTAAATGTATTCTAAACAGTATAGCAAGGCAGCAAACATAAATCAATTATACATTAAAGGGGAATACGCTGCATTTTATTTGTGTGTGAGGGCACAGTTTGTTTGTATTAATAGATACAGTATTACTGACAAATTTAGGAGTCACACTTGGCTACATCAGAACAGAAGATGGGTTAGAATGACCAAGAAGTGTTATAAAAGTATAGTTTGCGATAAAACTATTTAAAGAGTAATGTTTTTACTTCTTAAAAAGGTGTTAAAGTTAAGTTTACCATCACAACATTGCTTTGAATAAAATTGAAATAGTCCTAAGTGTTCATTTAAGAATATGCACTACCTTTCCAACACCATGTTAAATTTGGAACTACCAAATGGTAGTTCTGTAATTATTGCTATAAGCCTTAATTGCAGAGATGACAAAATACTGCTAATATTCCAGGGATAGGATATAATGTTGCAGCCTAATTTTCATTGCTGGAAAAAAAAGTGAATTGAATTTTGTTGCTTTGGGCATTTAGTTTTGATATGTTTTTCAAGATTTGGAATCTTGGCTAATATCAGGAAAACAAGTGTTAAAATGCCAATTGACCTTGACAGCCATGGTAGAATCTTGCAAAGAATCATTATGCAAAGCAAGGCTGCACAGGCCCATCATATCACATCTTTTTAGGAGATAAGCACTTGAGTAAAAGTTGATAAAACTTTCAGGAAGAAAGGACATACAGAAGATACGTTATGTATTAGAGGTATTCTAGGTTTCATCTTTGCTTCAAAGCCAGATTGATTTTGGAAACAGATTTTATGACCAGAAACCTTTTTTTAAAAAGGAGAAATGCTTATTACTTTAATTGCATGGTTTTATGCAAAAGCTATTCTCAAAATGTAGTTTATTTTCTGAAGTACCCTAACTCAAAAAAAATCTTAGAACAGACTTAATTGTGGCCCTGTTTTTGGTTATATTGAAAAGATAGTGCATCAAAACAAACAAATCTGCTCTTCTCAATGAGATGATTTTCTCATATAACGTTTTAAACAATTGGCTCTTGCTTTGAATCCAATAGATAATTGTCCAAATAAACAAGCAAAATTACATATTCCTTGAATTAAGGAATCAAAGGCTTTCTTTAATGTATTCCAAGGATTGATTTAATTTTCTATCTTGGCATTACTTTATTGAAACCCGTAACATTATTAACTGAAGAAATGAAGGAATAAGTTTATAGGTGTAATGTTTTTAACATTCTTTATTTGCACCTATTTTCTTGTGCTGTATGTGCTATCTTTGTGCCAATGTTATGGTTTCTGAAACTTTACATTATCTAAAATTGCACATTTGAGCAAATAAAAAACGAAAACAGATGCCAAAGTTTACATTGTTGGATACCAAATTATAAGAAAATGGCCCTGCTGACATGTATTGAATCCAAAATTAAATGTCTTAATACCAAATTGGGGCTCTTCACAGAAAAGGCAGTACATACAATAAAAAATAATTTCTGGTATACACATAAAAGTTATTTACAATGTTATTGTATTACACCTGGTTTATGTTGAATATGAGAAATACAAAGCTATAGCCACAGAATAATTTACCTTGTGATAGATAATCATGTAGCATTGGGATATAGCAGTTGGGCATATTTGGTGATTAGTCCAATATACATTTGCTAGACCAAAAGACTATATTAGGTGAGAAAATATTTTGTACACTAAATTTGAGTTGACTGATTAGGTTTCTTAATTCAATGTGTTGCTTTCTACCATGCTTTTCGTTAACAGCTGAAGACTTGCCTGGAGGCTTCAAAGCCTGCTTGTTGCCCATGAAAACATTCTATCACTTACCTAATATATCCTTCATTCAGTGATAAAGTACTTTCTGGGCAGTCAGGGACATTCAATCATTCGGAGCAAAAGCAGCAAAGCTGTTTTAAGTACTGTCTTTAAAGATGTGCCTTATGTATTATAATCTGTAAGAGCAAATTGATGTAAATGTTAATTTACCTCAAATGTTTACAAAAGTGTTACCTAATAAACGTTTTTTGTACCATCTTCTTGCCTGATTACTTCAGAGCAATATCCTTATTTTACTTCATTTTTAAAATTTAACTCCTGTTTTTCAAACAAGCATAAAACTAAGTCTATAAGAACACAAGAATACTTAAAAATGGAACAATCTACTAAACCTCCAACGATCTGTCTCCAGTGCGAATATATACAGAGACCAAAACCCCACACACTATTCTAAGTTTGGCCTCAAAGTTCTGCACAATTGTATCAACAGTCTTTATGCCTGTATTCCAGTTTCTTTGCACTTAAAGCCAACATGCCATTTTCTTTGCCAATTGCTTGTTGTACCTGGATGCTAACTCTTTGTGTTCCGTGTAGAAGCTTCTCTGAACATCAGCATTTACAAGGTTCAAACCATTTAATGTTAAGTGAATAGCTTCACATTTTTCCACATTATATTGACGTGTCTACATCTCTTTGCAGCCTATGTCCTTCACACAGCTTACATTTTCACATGATTTTGTATCATCTGCAGATTTCAATAGGCCAGTAATTGAAAATGCCGCATTTATTCGTTTTCTCTGCTTCAGTTCATTAACTAATCCTCTATACGTGCCAATACATCACTCTAATAACTTATGTATTAACCTTTGTGTGGTGGCACCTTATCAAATGTCTTTTGGAAATCCAAGTTTACCACCTCACAGGGTCCACTTTGTCTATTCTTCTATTTACACCCTCAGTGTAATACATTTTTGAAATGGAATTTTCTGTAAAACCATGTCGTACCAATCACACTGTGCCTTTCTAAGTGTATTGTTAAGACTTTCTTAATAAAGCTTTCATAATAACAAATGTCTGGCTAACTGGCCTGTAGTTTGCCCCTTCTTGAATGATGAAGTCACATTTGCTAACTTCCAGTTTGCTGGCACCATTCCGGAATCTAGTGAATTTTCAATGCATCCACTATCTTTGCAATAATCACTTGTAGAACACTAGGATGTAGGCTATTAGGCCCTGGAAGTTTGTCTGAGTTTAGTCTCTTCTGTTTCTGCTGTATTTTTCCTCTACTGATGTTAATTAACAATTTCTTTGAAGTTATTAGCCCCTAAATATCCTCTGTGTTGCCAACCACAACCAGCTTATTGTTGGGGCAGGTTCCTATAACTGTCCTCTCTCCATGATGGGGTCTGAGGTCTACTTGGTTTAAGTAGTAAAGGAAGACCACTGGTGAGTCTTAATGAGAAGAAGTTCTTGTCTTAAAAAAGATGCAACTTATTGCATGATAGCAATAGGTATAGGTTACATTAGAGTTAGACATTGTTACAAAGAGGATGAAGAGACATGAATGATAGGTCTGTCCCCTCTGAGATTCTAAGCTGTTCTGTCTTTCAGTTTTGATGGTTAATGCCGTCTCTAATGTTAACCATTTTAGAACCATTACTTTATAAAATAGCCTTAATTTCTGGAATGTAATTTGTGCCTTCTACTATGAAGGCAGGCACAAAATATTTATTCAGTGTGTCTGCCATTTTTTTCATTCCCCATGATAATTTCTCTTTCACCAGCTTCAAAGGCATCAATGTTTACTTCAACTACTCTCTTTACACATTCGTAAGAATACAATCTGTTTGTATATTCCTGGGTAGTTTACTCTCATTATTTTCCTTATCAACTTTTTGCTCACCCTTTGCTGGTTTCTAACATTTTTAAACCTCAGATTGGCTATTAAACTTTATGATGTTATATGCCTCTTTAAGAGAGTTAAGGGTAGTATTAGATTTAATAAACCCCAAATGTATCTTTCTTGCTGAATTTTTATTTTTCAATAGAACATATTCTTGTTGAACATATTGTATTGTTTCTTTAAATGGTCACCACTGGTAATTATCACCATATCTTTTGGTTTGTTTGCCCAATCGACCTTAGCAAGCTCTTTACTTATGTCTGTGTAATAGGTTTTGTTTAAACTTAAGATACTTGTTTGTGATTGAAGTTTGCAAGTTTCAAATTTAATGTGGAATTAATTGTATTATGTTCTCTATTTCACAGTGGACCTTTTGCCATGATGTTACATTCTTATGCAATTTGTAATAAGACCATAAGAAATGTGAGCAGAAGTAGGCCATTCAGCCCTTTAAGCCCATTTTACCATTCAGTTAGATTATGGGCGATCTACTTCAACATTTTCCTGCATGGCCGCATATCCATTGATGTTTTTTATATGTGGAAATCTGTCAGTCACAGTCTTGAAAATATTCTGTGATTGAGCCTCCACAGCCCTCTGGGTGAGAACTCCAAATATTGATCATGCTTTGACTGAAGGAATTCCTGTCACCTCAGTCTTAATTGCTTTGTCCGATATTCTACAGACTACTCCTCCGTCCACCCAGGGGAAAGGAAATGTTATAGTGGTATTGTGACCAGACCAAACGTCCAGGGTAATGCTCTGGTGATATGAATTTGAATCCCACCATGGCAAATGAATTAGGAGCAGGTCACTTGGCTCCTCGTGTCTGCTGTGTCAAAACCATGGCTGATCTGATTACTCCATGCTCCCATCTACCCCCATAAGCTTTCGCCCCTTTGCTTATTCTACCATTAATTTTAAAATATTCAAAGTATTCCAGTTCCATTGCCATTTAGAGAAGAGCGTTTCAAAGGCTCAAGACCCTCAGTGGGGAAAAAAATTCTCCTTGTGGTAGAATTTGAATTCAATCTACTATAAATGTTGTGAGACAGCTTTCTCGTGTGGAATGTGATACCTTAAAATAATCATCATGACATTCTGAGCTGATTAAAGTTTAGTCACTATAACCCTCCACATAAAGGGACAGCAAAAACTGTTTTGGTGCAAGAGTACGGGGTTGTACTGTGACTTTGCAAAGGAGGGTGCGATAAACCAAACTGATCGCCATGCGTTCCTACATTGGTTAAACTAATGAAAATTTTGCTACCATAATGCACTAATGGAAAATAATTTTCTTTGCATCAATTTCTTAGTTTGACATTATCTATTACTGTACTGCACTTGGGACAGTGCGTAATGTAAGAATGGTTTAAGGGTGCAAAAATTGAACAATTTCGAAATTATTGAAATCAGGAAAGCTGGGAAAGCAGTGCATCATTTGTTTCTCCCAATTGAAAGCTCTTTTCAATCAACATTTGAAGAAAATGGAGCACGCTCAAAGTCTTCTTCCAGATGGCCATGGGGAGAAGAGATGGAGGGACATCTGTGACCATAAACTGGGACTGCACAACATTGCTTCTGCTGCAACAACCTGATCTTTCTGTTACAGGCTTTGTTTTTTAACTGACCCATACATCACTGTGGCAGCCATATGAGCAGCCTTCAGTGGAGCATCATTGAATGCTAATCCCAGTAAATGATGATCCCACTAAGCGATCCATTCCTGGCATCCATCTGTTCAACAGTGCTAATAGCTCTCATTCAATGTAAAAATCAACACCACATCTTCGGTCAAATGAACCAGTGGCCCAATTAGTGAATTTTATGAATCTGGAACTTAAAAAGCTGTCCTATTGATCACCATGAAACCATTGTCAATTGTCAGAAAGTCCTAGTGGTCTGTCCAGTTCACAGAAGTCCTTTATAGAAGCAAAATCTGCCTTCCTCACCTGGTCCAACTCCACACCCGTGTGTTTCATTCTTAAATGCCCTTGGAAACGGTCCAGCAAGTTGTATCAATTGTTACATTATCTGATAAAAGGAATGAAGTCAGCAGGCAGAAACCAAAGCACTGGAAATGACAGTGGCAAATGTAGCTCTTTCAATCCTGCAAAGTTCTACTGAGTTACATCTTGCGGTCTGGTTCTGAAATTTTGAGAGCTAACCCACAGATTAGACAAGCCTCAGCCTGACATTGTCTCTAAGGTATGATTCTTTGAAAAAGACTGGGTATCCCTAAGTATGTCCTATCTTACCAAGGGACAGAACCAGCAGAGATGGCATCATAGTAGTATACAGTTGGGTGCGAGTTTCCCTGGGAGTTCTCAACATTGACTCTGGGACCATAAAGTCTCTTGGTATCAGGTCAATCATAGAAAAGGAAATTTCCTGCTAATTATCACATACCAACCCTCATCCCTCTGCTGACAAATCAGTACTCCTCCATAACGAACACCATAGTAGTTCCACTACTGATTGGACTGACCATGTTCTAAAGGACATGGCTGTTAGATTGAACCTACAGCAGGTCGTGAGCGATCCAACAAGAAGAAAAAAATAAACTTAACCTCATCTTCACCAATCTACCTGTAGCAGATGCATCTGTCTGTGACAGTGTCATTGGGAATGACTACAGCACAATCCTCGTGGACATGAAGTTCCACCTTTACATTGAGGGTAACCTTCATTTGGTTTTGTGGTACTAACAACCTCGAGAATCCGATAAATTTTGGAAAGATCTATCATCACAAAACTAGGCATATATAAGGTCTGTTGGCCATCAGTTGCAAAATTATATGCAGCCACAATCTGTAACCTCATGGCCCAACATATTCCCATGTGATCATGATCATTATCACCAAGGTAGAGGATCGACCTTGATTCAAGGAAGAGTGCACAAGGGCATGCCAGGAGCAGCACCAGGCACACCTAAAAATGAGGCATCAACATTCTTAGCTACAACACAGGACTATATACATGCCAAACAACAGAAACCTGCAACAGAGAGGGCTAAATGACCCCACAACCAATAGATTAGAGTGAATGTCTGTATTTCTGCCATATCTAGTTGTGAATAGTGATGGATAATTAAACAACTAAATGGAGGAAGAGATTCCACACACGTTCTAATCCTCAATTATGGGGAGCCCAGCACATCAATGTAACAGACATTACTGAAGCATTAGTAAGATTCTTCAATATCAAGTGGACAATTCATTTCAGCATCTTTCTGAGGGCTGCTTTGTCACAGATGCCTGTCTTCAATCAATTTAATTCACTCCACATGACATCAAGAAACAGCTGAGACACTGGATATGGCAAA